TACCTGAGGTAGTGCACGTCAGTAATCTCCTGCATACACAGCCAGCAGAACTGACAGGCACACACAGTGCAGTTCATACGGTTACAGCTGCCATCATTGGTCTTCATGATGTAGGCACCACAGCGAGGGCATGCTTTGATTTCCTCTGCATCTGCAACGGAGGAAATACTTCAGCTACTACACACTTAACAAGCAATATCTATATGTCATCGTAAAGGAACAGTTTATTTTTTTGTAGACATGCTCTATTTTGTTCAGAAAAATATAGTTGGAAAGATGAGACTAAAGTGGAGAATACGTTTACTAATAATGCACAGTCCAAAATAGTCCATCTACACAAACACCTCATACCAGCTGTCAAGCACGGTGGTGGAGGCGTGATGATTTGGGCTTGTTTTATAGCCAAAGGACCTTGGCAGCAGTTATTGAGTCAATTATAAACTCCTCTGTATTCTAAAATATAACAATCAAATGTGAGGCCCTCTGTCTGACAGCTAAAGCTTGGCTAAATTTGGATCATGCAAATGAACAATGATCCCATAAAACGGCAGCAAATCTACAACAGGATGGCCGAAAAAGTAAAGAATCAAGGTGTTACAATGGCCCAGTAAAGACCTCACTGTGTGAGTGACTGTGGCAGGACTTTAAGAGAGTTGTGCATAAAAAATAAAAAATGCTCAAAGAAAAGTGGGTCAAAATTCCTCTACGACTTCTACAAGAATCATAAAACTAAATGGAAAACTGTTTAGTTTTCAAGTTAAAGCTAAAGTTATTTCTACAAGCTACATCATGGTATGTACTTATTTTTTTCACCTGACTGCATGGGGTTCTGTAAAAGCTTACCACCCTCCAAAAAACACTTGTTTCTATAATATACCAGGATGTGAACCAAAAGTGATGTAACTTTTCCCAAAATGAAATGTTGCAATGTTACCGTACGTTACTGGCTCTGCCAAATTTGATGGAAATTATGGAAGAAATTACAGTACAACCACGACAGGACTTCAGTCTGTAGATAACAAACTTATCTGTTAGACAGATAGGTTTGTTATCTATCTGTCTAACAAACCTGAAAACCACACAGGCCTGGAAGTACTCGTGGCAAAACCAGGTAGACTTTTTCAAGTGGTTGTTTAGAGCAAAGAGGCCCACAAACGACTCGTAGCTTCATTTAATCACATGGCTCCTGTCTCACCTCCTCCAGGTTCTTCATTGAAGACGTACAGTGTAGAGGCATCGTTGCCGCCTGAGGTGTGGCGGGCTCGCTGACGCCGGGCCTGGTCGCACGTCTGGTTGGGGTGCCACAGCTGCCGACAGTGGTAGCAGAACTCTGTGTCGCATCCCTCACGGCCACAGCTCAGCTTGGGACACTCTGCACAGCCGTAAGCTATCACAGCATAGCTGAGGAAAGAGAAAAACTACAGATAAAAATGACAGAAAAATATCAGACGTTTGATTGGCTGATGGGGATTCTGGGGGACTGCTTTCCAGAATTGAAAACCTATCATCTGATAATTAACAGATATATATTATAATCTTATTGGCTCCATACCCAAATATGACTTTTAAAACTTTGTATCAATAACTAAATAAAAAAATGAGGCAGTCTGGTCATGTGTGTGTGCTTGTTGTGTTTTTTAACAAACATTCATTTAGTGCAGTGTTGACTTTAAAGTTGTGGTGGTTTTTCTTCTTTGTTGGGTTAGGATTAGGGCAAAACCTACACCTCCCTCGTTGCTAGGAAACTGCAGATTATGTTAAAGTTATGGGCTCTTGATTTTTTTTTAACCTC